ATATGGCCTTTATTATGTTGAGGTACTTTCCTTCTATACCCATTTTATTCAGAGTTTTTATCATAAATGGGTGCTGTATCTTAAATGCTTTCTCTGCATGTGTTGAGATGATCATGTGATTTTTATTCTTCATTATGTTAATGTGGTATATCACATTCATTTGTGGATGTGGAACCATCCCTGTGTCCCTGGAATAAATCCCACCCGATCATGGTGTATGGACCTTTTCATGTATTGTTGTATTTGACTTGCTCTTATTTTATTGAGGATTTTTGCATCTATGTTCATCAGTGATATTGGCCTGTAAATTCCCTTTTATCAGAGTAATGTTGGCCTCATAAAATGAGTTAGGAAGCATCCCATCCTCTTCAATTTTGTGGCAGAGTTTGAGAAGGATAGGTATTAAGTCTTTGGAAGTTTGGTAGAATTCACCAGAGAAGACTGCACTTTTGGTTTGGGAGAGGTTTTTGATTATTGTTTCAATCTCTTTACTAGTAATTGGTCTATTCAGATTCTCTATTTCTTCCTGATTCAATTTTGGGAGACTATATGATTCTAAGAATTTATCCATTTCTGCTAGGTTATCCAATTTGTTGTCATATAGCTTTTCATAGTGTTCTCTTATAATCTTTTGTATTTCTGCAATATCTGTTATAATTTCTTCTCTTTCATTTCTGATTTTATTTATTTGAGCCTTCTCCCATTTTTCTTAGTGAGTCTAACTAAGGATTTGTCAATTTTGTTTATCTTTTCAAAGAACCAGCTCTTAATTTCATTGATCCTTTCTTGTCTTTTAAGTCTCTATTTCATTTATTTTTACTCTAATTTTTATTATTTCCCTCCTCCTATTGACTTTGGGCTTCATTTGTTCTTCTTTTTCTAGTTCTTTTAAGTGTAGTGTTAGATTGTTTATTTGAGATTTTTCTTGTTTCTTATTTAGGCCTGTATTGCTATAAACTTCCCTCTTAGTACTGCTTTTGCTGCATCCCATAGAGTTTAGTATGTTGTGTTTTCATTTTAATTTGTCTCCAGGTACTTTTTGATTTCTTCATTGATCCAATAGTTGTTTATTAGTGTTATTATTTAGTTTCCACATAGTTATGACTTTTCCAGGCTTCTTGTAGTTGATTTCTAGCTCCATACTATTGTAGTTGGAAAAGATGCTTGATATGACTTAAATTTCTTAAATTTATTGGGACTTGTTTTGTTTCCCAACATATGGTCTATCTTTGAGAATGTTCCATGTGCACTTCAGAAGAATATGTATTCTGCTGTTTTGGGATGCAATGTTGTATACATATCTGTTAATTCCATCTGGTCTAGTGTTTCATTTAAGGTCAATGTTTCCTTGTTGACTGTCTGGATGACCTATCCATTGATGTAAGTGGGGTGTTAAAATCCACTACTATTGTGTTGCTGTCAGTTTCTCCCCTTAGGTATGTTAATAGTTGCTTTATATACTTTGGTGCTTCTATGTTAGGTGCGTATATATAAATAAATGTTTTGTCTTCTTGGTAGATTGTCCCCTCTTGCTGTCTTTTTGGGCTTGATGTCTAATTTGTCTGAGATAAATATGGCTATGTCCACTTTCTTTTGGTTGCCATTTGCTTGGTGTATCATCTTCCAGCCTTTATTTTGAGTCTGTGTTTGGCTTTAGATCTGAGATGGGTCTCCTGGAGGCAGCATATTGTTGGATCTTGTTTTTTAATCCATCCTGCCATTCTGTGTCTTTTGATTGGTGAATTAATTCCATTTCCATTTAGGGTGATTATTGAAATATGAGGGCTTAATACTGACATTTTATCTTTTGTTTTCTGCTTGTTCTGTATTTCCATTGTTTCTTTTTCCTTGTATTTCTGTCTGCCATTTCAGTTTGGTGGTTTTCTGTGATGTGTTTCTCAGTTTCTTCTTCTTTCGTTTCTTGTGACTCTCCTCTAAATTTTTGTTTTTTGGTTACCTTTAGGTTTGTATGAACAAGGTCATAGATGAGATAGTCCTTTTTCTGCTGATAGCATCTTATCTCCATTTGCCTATGCAGGTTCTGTCTTTTTCATATTTCCCTTCTATGTTTTTGTTGTCACTAATTATCCCTTTTTGTATTGTGAGTTTGTTACCAAATTGAAATGGTTATAGTTATTTTTAATGCCTCCTTTCCCTTTAACCTTTATTTTATAATGAAGTGTTTATTATCCTATTCTGATATAGAGTTGCAGTTTTCTGATTCTATTGGTCTATTTATCACTTTGCCTAAATCTTTGTATACCTTTGCCTTTTTGTCTCAGGTAGGAGAGCTCTTTTCAAGATTTCTTGTAAGGTAGGTCTAGTGGCGATGAACTCCCTCAGCTTTTGTTTATCTGGGAAAGCCTTTATTTCTCCTTCATATCTGAAAGATACGTTTGCTGGATAGAATATTATTGGATCAAAGGTTTTATCTTTCAATATTTTGAATATATCATTCCACTCTCTCCTGGCCTGTTGAGTTTTTGCTGAGAAATCCACTGATAGCCTAAAAAGGGGGTTCCTTAGTAGGTTATTATTTTCTTCTCTCTGGCTGTTATTAATATTCCTTCTTTGTCAGTGACTTTTGACAGTTTTCATATAATATACCTTGAAGAAGATCTTTCTGCAATGAGATAATTAGGTGTCCTATTAGCTTCATGTACTTATATATTGTGTTCCTTTCCTGGATTTGGGAAGTTCTCAGCTATTATTTCTTTAAATAGGCTCTTTGCTCCCTTTTCCCCCTCTTTTCCTTCTGGGATACCCTTTATCCTTACGTTGCTTTTCCTAATTGAATCAGATATTTCTCATAGGATTTCTCCATTTTTTAAAAAATCTTAGTTCTCTATCCTTTTTCACCTGAATCATTTAGAGATTTCTGTCTCTAAATTCACTAATTCTCTCTTTCATATGGTTTAGTCTATTTTCAATGTTTTCTACTTTATTCTTTATCTCACGTATTGTGTTCTTCAGCTCCAGAATTTGTTTGGTTCTTTTTTAGAGTTTCAATGTCTTTGAGGAAGTACTCCTTCTGTTCATTAATTTTATTCCTGAGATCATTGAACTGTTTTTCTGAGTTTTCTTGTAACTTGAGTTTCTCTATAACAGCTATTTTGAATTCTCTGTCAGTTAGATGACAATCTTCCATGACTTCAAGTTTGGTTTCTGGAAAATTGTCATTTTCTTTTTGTGATACAGTGTTACTGTATTTTTTCATGGTGCTTGATGAATTGTTCCTCTGCCAGTGCATTTGCAATAGCAAACATATTTATTATTTGGGTAAAGCTTTGTTTACTTTGATTCTGAGCTGCTTTTGGTTGTGTTTGAGAGCCTGTGCTTCCCATCCTCCATTGCCTCTGTGAGAGGCATTGTCAGTGCTCTCCTTGTGCTGCTTGTGCCTCCAAGGTTGCTGGTGTCTTGCTGATTACAATATTGCTGCAGTCATGGGTGTTGCCACCATGGTCACTGGGCTGGTGAGCACCTCTGCTGCTTCTGGGGCTGCCTGGGTCACTCGTTTCCCCACTGTGAGGTGAGGAGGGGGAAAGTGGGGCAGGAGTTGGGTTCACGGGCACCTCCATCACATCTGAGTTTGTTGGGCCTGCAGTTCCTGCTGCTACAGGTGGTGGGACCAAAGTTGTGGGCACAACTGCACCTGAGGGGAGTACTGGAGTCATGGTCTCCACTGCTGCTGCTACCTGGTTCTCTGTAGGCTCTCCACAGGCTCGGGCACTGCTGCTCCTGGGTTTTCTGGGCATGCTGGCATCACCAGTATGGGAAGTACTGGCTTTGCAGATGTCATTTTCACTTCTGGATCGGCTGGAGTTGTGGGCAACACCGCCATGTGAGGAGGGGTATCTGGGTACCAGTGCTACTGGAGTTCCTGAAGCCTCTGGTCTCAGATGCTGGCACAATTCCTGGAACCTCAGGTCACGAGCACCACCACTGCTGCCAGGGGCCCAGGGTCTTATATGCTGCCCCTGCTGCTGGAAGGGTGGTGTCAGAGGTGCTGCCACTGGGGAATAAAAAGGGGAACAGGTCGTGGGCACTGCAGCAGTTCCTGAAGCCTCAGATTGCAGGCACCACCCGCCATGCTAGGGGAAAGACAGGGGCATGATCCACAAGTGCCACTTTGGTTTCTGCATTCTCCAGTCTCAGGTGCCAGCACGATTCCTAGAGCCTCAAGTCACCGGCACCACCACCACTGCCAGGGGTGTTGGGAACTTTGTTGCAGCCCTTGCTTCTAGGAGGGGCAGGGTCAAAGGCACCACTGCCACTGGAGGAGGGGGAAGAGGGTTGGTCACAGGTATCATAGTGGTTCCCAGACCCTCCGGTCGCAAGTGCATCAGCAGTTCCTGGTGCCTCCAGGAAAGTGGGCTGCCTGGGTTCTTGGAGCCTCTGTTTGTGGGCATTACCATAGTTCCTGGGGCCTCTGGTCACAGGTGTGGCCACAGTTCATGGAACCTCTGGTCTCAGAAGCTGCCACTGCTGCTCCCCTGTTTCTACTGCCTCCAAGAGGTCCAGTCCGTTCACCCTCAGATGTAGAGATGTATGGATCTCTCAGGCATTCTGGTGTGCTATGCAGGGTCCTTTGGTCTATGGATGTCCTACTGGTTGTAACTTAGAAGGGAGAGACAAAGGGAACAACTCACTCTGCCATGATGCTGACGTCACTTCTCATGTTTTGTTCCTTTTACCCCATCTTCAATTATTCAAATAATTTTTATAATCTATTTTAATTTATCTGTTGGGCATTATATATTTATTTTATCTAGGGATTATAATATAAATCCTTAACTTTGCACAATTTACTTAATATTGTACCACTTCACGTAGAATACAGAAAGGAGGCTAAGTGTCCCTCTAGGAAAAATGTTTCTTAATCAAGTAAATAAGAGGTTCTTGTCAACTTTACTAATGTAGCTTTCAAAATAATTGGGACAGAAAATAAACTGTGCTTAGCACTTGTATAATGTATTATATTTGTCTGCTCTGTGATGTAGGTCAGAAGGAGTTTAAAGATGAAACTGAGGATGAAGAATTGGATGCCAGTTTTAGGATATCAGTGTTCAATCTACCCATACATACTTCAGATTCACTGAAATATCCTTCAGTATTAAAAGAGAAGGAACAAGATACTTTTCCTATATATGCCCAGCCATTTTCTACCACTCATCCAAAACCAGTAATTAAAAAAAAAGATACACTGTTGGAAAGGAATGCAAGAAGAGAGTTTTTTACAACACACAGAGCTGGTATAAAACTCCAGACACTTTGTGATATTGATGAATATTACTCAGAAGAAAAGAAGCAGGAAAGCCATAAAAAAAACGTAACAGCTGTAACCAGGGCACAAGTTGCCCAGGAAAGAGTTAGCTTAACTGTTCAAGAAAACTTAAATAAGAAAAAATATGCTGCACAAAAACTAACTGCAAAAGATAATGAGACAATTCGGGACAGTTTACAACAACTTTTGCAGGACAGATTCAACTACCTTGAAAAAGTTAGAGAGAGGAGAGCCCTATTTCTAGAACAAAAAAAACAAAAGGCTGAAGAACGTTTATTAATTCAAAATTTAAATAATGAACTCACTCTTTTGACCAAAGGAATGATTAAAATGGACAGACTGAGAAAGAATCAGGCTGCTTTAAAAGAGAAACGTCTGATTGTTCAGCAAAAACTGGAAACGGAAAAATATCGAAAGGATTTACTGAAACAAATGAAGGAAATTAAGTAAGTACAGTTTTGATATAATACAAGCTTTTACATCAATTACCTGTGAATATTGCATACTAAATGTTGAGGTCTCATAAACAGTACTTTGTTTATAACATGATATATTCTACTTTGAAAAATAGAAATAACAACAAAAGGACAAATATGTGCTAATATATTACCAAAGATGAGACAACAAAACAACTCTATCTTCCCCACCTCCCCCATCCAACAAAACCTGCTTCTTAATTGATGTTTGTTCTTATCATGAAGGGCATCATTAGCCTCTTGACCAGTGCTAGAAACCTCAGTCTTTTACAACTCAATCTCCCTCATTGCCAACATGTTTCCCTATTCATTTTACTTCTAAAAGGAGTCTCAGACTGATCCCTCCTTTTCAATCCCACTTCTATTCTAATTCAGACTCTCATAATCCCTCTAAGAATTTACATTATTCTTCCAATTGAGAGCTCCATCTCCATTCTCCATCTTTTCTTCAACCCATATCTGTTTTCCAGACTACAAACATCAACTGTCTATTAAAATTAAGTTCTGATCATGTCATTTTCTACTAAAGTCTGTTGATACCTTGCAATTGCCTGTAGAATAGAATCTAATCTCTTCTGAGCGGCATTCCTGACATCATGCCCTGTCCAGTCTATCTAGACCTATCTCACTAAAGTTTCTGCTATAGCCTCCTCCCTCTTTCCGTAATAGCACTCTTTGCTCCAAACAGACTAAATTATTCACCACTCCCTACCCAACTTTGGACTTATCCTTATAACATTACCGATAACTATCAAATATATACCCCACAAGGACACAACAAGCCTACAATGTTACTGTTGTCTACATATTATGCAGCACAAGCCTCTATGTTATTGTGCAAATTAGAATACTTTGGAGTATCAAATTGGTGAGCGGGTAGTGCCTGTGTGTGAAGGAAAAGGCACTCTCTTCTCCAGGGAGACACATCACTGGTGGCTGATGCTTGGCTAAGTGTGACCATATTTCACCCTTATTTGCCCCCATCCTTCAGTGCATGAACTGTAGAACCACTGACAGAATTCATCCTTTTATTATCCATCCTTTTACTAACCAACTGAAATGGAACATTCACTTTTAACCTCTCCCCAACGGCTCTGCCAGTCTAAATTAGTCTTTTTCATTTGGTGGTGCTCCCCTAGCACTTTCTTTAGATCTGAATTGTAGCAGTTATCACAAGAGGGCCCATATCAGCTTAGCTTGTGAAGTCCTGTATAAGATAATTTGGTCTATATTTCCATTTCAGTGGCTAGTACAGTACTTAGTTTCCAAAATCTATTCAATAATCATTTATTGAGGAAAATAGGTAAAAATCCCAGGTTTTAAATTAGCAATTAGTAAGCCCAATTAAGTCGTTTAATAGCCTCTGGGACGAGTGACTGTTTTTTTATATATTTGTGTTCAATACTTAAGCCATTGGAATGAGAAACAATGCATTTTTTTTCTGAATGCTGTATAGTGAAGATCTATAATCAGAATTATTAAATGTATAGTAAAAATATAATTAACCAAGCTATGACAGTAGCTTCACTAGTCATTAGAATAGGTATCTACCTTAGGACAAGTGCTTATTTCATGGCAATAAATTTGTCCTGCATATTTTTTTTTCTGTCCCTCTGTGATCATTGGCATTTCTAACTAAGGAGTATTTACTTCGATTCAAATCATTCAAATAGTAATTCACTTCAGCTCTTGAAGATGCCAGGTGATATGGGGACATAAAGATAATTTGGCTCCAAGAAACCGAAAATCTAGGTGGGAGATAAGTCATCAGGCAATAAGACTGCAAAAGTTAAATGATAATACAAGCAATAATATAAAAAACTATCAAGGGACAGAATGGAAATTTTCAGTTAAATGATACGTAATAAATAGGTGAGAGTAATATAGGAAACTTTCAAAGAGAAGGCTTAACTAAACATCAAAGTGTTAATTCATTTCAATTTTCCTCTATACTCTCGATCCTCTAAGAACTCACAGACCAGTGGCAAATATAAGCATGTGTTTGGATTATTACAAAAAGTAGAAGTAGGGAAATTGCAATTGTCAATTAGAATTTGGAAAAGCAGAGAGATGAGAGGAAAACATTATCAACAGAGGATGAGCAAAATTAGAAAGTTCAGAATAGGTAACGTGGGCATGAGGAAGGAGGTAGTGAATGTTGCCTACATATAGCAGAAGGTTTATGAAAGGGAGTAATTGAGGTGCGATTGCTCAGGAGACATTAAACAGGATTAGAAAGGTCCTCTAAATCTCAGACAGTGGCATGGTAAAGAATCCTACCAGAAAAAACAATGCATTTTAAACATACATTTTACTGCAGAATCTTCTTATCAAGAAATATCTCAGAACACTAATCCTCAAAATACACTTTGGACAAAGCTGTCTCAAACAAATCCAAAAAATTTTAAATTGTTCCATGATGAAGATTTTTTAATTTCCAATTAAATTTAGTGAGGAGGCTCTGAAGATTAGTATTGATTCAAAACAGTTTAACCTACATTTAGTAAATTTAAATTTCGTTAGTTGTCAAAGAATATTTTTTTATTGAGGTATACTTGTCATACTTGTCACTACATTAGTTTCAGGTGTACAATATAATCTTTTGATATTTGTATATATTGTGAAATGATCACTATAATAAGTCTAGTTAACATCTATCATCATATGTAGTTACAAAATATTTTTCTTGTGATGAGAACTTTTAAGATGTATTCTATCAGTAACTTGCAAATATGCAATACAGTACTATTAACTCTAGTCATCATACTTCACATCACATCCCCACGACTTATTTATTTTATAACTGGAAGTTTGTACCTTTTGACCCCCTTCACCCATTTCACCCACTCCCCACCTCTTGCCTCTGGCAACCACCTATCTGTTCTTTGTACCTATGAGCTCAGGTTTTTTGTTTGTTTGTTTTAGATTCTACATGTAAGTGAGATCATATAGTATTTGTCTTTCTCTGTCTGACTTATTTCACTTAGCGTAATGCCCTCAGGCTCCATCCATGTTTTTGCAAATGGCAAGATTTCCTTCTTTTTTATGGCTGAATAATATCCATTGTATATATACCACATATTCTTTATGAAGGATATTTTTTAAGAACATAAATCCATGACTCATACAAATATAAAATCAACATGTCGAAGATTTTATTTAACTCATTAATTAATGGAGGAATCAATAAGATATTATAACAGGTTTAAATAAGTATTCTAAGAGCATGCATATGTATAGGCAATCAGGAATGTCAAAATAAATTGCCATTATCCACTAAAATCAACTGCAACTCCATTAGACAAAATTCATTTACATTTCTACAGACAAGAATCATTTGCATTACTCACAGTTTTCCTCAATTTATAAAGTTGTAAAATAGTTCAAAGAGATTGAAAGACACAGATAACTCTGAAGGGTACACCAGACAGGACCCTCAGTCATTTTTTTTTATCCTTTCAAAGTCTTCAACACAATGTTTTCTGATATTAGATTGAAACTTATCAGCTACAGTTTTATCCTGGTGATATTTTAAGTGGCCAAACTATGTAAATATATCTAAGGCTTGTCTGGAAATACTTAGAGATCATTATAGCTGCTTATTTCATTTACATTTTTAAATGCTATCATTTAAAAAAATAGTTTGTACTGGAAAGGAGTGTAAATAAGAAGAAGAATGTATTTGCCTTTTCCCACTTATAAGCAATTTTTAAACTATTTACTGAGGTACTTTACGTAATATCTTTTTAAGTATGAAAAATATTTTATATTTATGTCCTCCAAAATTTAAAAACATTTTCCTTAATGTATACTTTATGTGTGTGTAAGAGATTTTTGGAAATAATTTTTCTAGAATTTAATAAAACAAATTTTGGAAAAGAGAATGAAAACTAGTTTGGTATATCAAAATACAAATTTAGTGCAAATCAATGTTGGAGAAATTTAATCAGCTTAGTTTTATTACAGCAAATTGAATGTCTGGCCATCATTAATTTGTAGAGGATCCAGAGTCAAGAGAGCTTCCTAATGTATCTTAACTGAATTATCTTCTCTTGAAAGCTGCTGCAAAGATATTATCCTTGAAAGCACACAGGAATGAGGCAATGTTCTAGTTATGTCGGTAATGTGTCCTAAAAGGCATTATTGAGTTTTATTATAAATGTTTTCAAATAAAGATTGAGTATCAACATGCTGAAAAGTGCTGTGACTCAAAAAAGTCAAGTCTGTCTAGAGATTTTCAATTCTTTTTCTGCTGGTTGATTCTTTATTAACGTATCAAATACTTGACCTAAAAGCATTCTGATGAATCTTAATAACTAGTGGAGTCATTACTGAGAAGGTAGCTCCCTGATAGGCCGTGGAATGAGGAAGAATGAAAGAAGAAAGGGGAACTACAAAACTCTAGGAAGTTGATAAAATACCAAGCAGGGGTATTTAAGAATGAATTAAAAACAGACTTTGAAATGAAAGAATTTATATATCAGGTAAAAGCTGGCCATGCATTTCCCAAAATATTCTTGTCCATACTCTGAAAAAGTGATGACACTGCTCAGGGCAGAACAGAAGGGTGTCCATTTTGAAGTAGAGTATCAGTTAGCTTCGAAGATCTGGCACATTAGGCGGTTATCCAATTACATCGTCTTCTACTTGTCCTTATTTTGGTCATCAATTGACCTTCTAGACTATCCTCTTCATTCACTGTGGTCTTTGTATCCTGATTTATAAAGCTTTTCTCCATCCAACTTCTGCCATAATCACAATTAACTTCTAAATTTATAAGAACAACCTTCCCAATTGCCTAACCTAAACATTTTTGGATCCCAACAACCTTTAAACTCATTTTCATAGACATATAAAAGTGCCATCTTGCAACTGCCTCACTTGGAACTGTCCCACCTCTTAAATTTTAAACTCTTGTATACTTATTTATGGCTAAAATCTCCTATCTTTTCAACTCTTTTCTTCCTTTGCTTTCCCCACATTTATTCTTCAAATATATTGTGACACTCATCTCTCAAATAACATTCCTTATAGACTTCTTTTCATTTATAGTGGGGCCTCCAATGTTCTTCAATTCAATTATTCTTTTATCCACTCCATCTAGTGTCTCTGAAGTCCTTTCTTTTCATTGCCTCCACCATAGTAACCACCCCAACCCCTACCTTGGAATAATCCAACTATCTATCTTTACTTCTTGTATTCAGGTAAAAATGGCTAGAATTGATCATTGACTTGTAGATTTATGCTGATGTTAATTGCATGGTCTCTGACTTTAGCTGTTCCCTCAGGTGCTTGCTCTTTCTCTTATTATCTACAAAAGTGATGTCAACCTTCATCAACTATAGAGCTTCCTATCCAAACATCACCTCTGACCTCTCCTTTTCAGCAAGCCAATTTATCTGTTTCCCAAAGAAATTTTAGCCCTTCAAGCTTGACTTTATTCAATTTTCTATATCCGTATTTATAAAATTCTACATATCCTATATTTATCCTCACTTCTTTTTCTACTATCTCAGGATTAGTTTCCCATTTTCCTATTAAAAGCTCATAATCCTTCTGCTTATGCTCTTAGAATGCTTGAAATTGGGTAATGCAAGGCCTCTGCACTAGGCAGAATTATGGACCCCAAGATGATATCATGCCCTGATCCCTAGGACTATAAATATGATAAGATACCACGCTCATGAATATACTATTTTACATGGCAAAATGGACTCTGCACATGTAATTCAGGGTACTAATTTGTTGACCTTAAAATAAGGAGATTATCCTGGATTATTCAGGTTGGCCCAATGTGTATAACATGAGCCTTTAAATGCAGAGGCAGAAGAGAAAGTCAGATGCAAAGTAGGAGGATTTGATGTGACATTGCTAACTTGAAGATGAAGGGGGTTATGTGGAAAGAGTGAGAAGAAAATGAATTCTAACAACAACCAACAATCTTGGAAAGAGGACCTCAAGATCTGGATGAGAACCACAGCCCTGGCTGACTCTTTGATTTCAGCCTTGTGAGAACCTAAGCAGAAAACCGGACTGAGCCATATTGTGCCTGGACTTCTTACCCATGGAAATTATGAGATAATAAATGATTATTGTTGTAAACCACTACATTTATGATAATTTGTTACATGGCAATAGGAAATACGTACTCTAACTTTGTTCTTCCGTTTCCAAGATTGCTTTGGTTATTCCAGGACCTTTGCATTTCCATATAAATTTAAGTTTTGATAAATTCAAAATACCTAAATTTAATACATTTAAAATATTAATCTAAATTTAATCTTATATGTTTAAAACAAATTTAAATGTTAATTTCTATCCAAAAGGCTCTTGGCATATTAATTTGGATTATATTGAACCTCTAGATAAATTTGGGGAGAATTGACATCTTAATAGAATTGTCTTCCAATTGTTGAACATAGTATAACTCTCCATTAATTTAGGTCTTCTTTAATTGTTTTGACAATATTTTAGCATTTTCAGGTGTGGGCCTTGTGTATCTTTTGTTAAACTTATGTCCAAGTATTTTATGTTTTTTTTGATAGTATTGTAACTGGAATTTCTTTTTTAATTTCATTCTCCAACTGTTTGATCCTGGCAAATATAAATACAATAGATTATTGTGTTTCTCAATCTTCAATTCTTTTAAACAGTTGGGTTTTGTTTTACATTTTGTTCACAGTTTATAATTGTTATCTGTAGGGGGGCTATTTCAGTACATTTGTTAGACTCTGCTACGCGTCCAGAGATGACTACTCTCCAGAGCTCAACTCAAAATAGTTTTAGCTAATTTTCATTGAGTGAGTATTAAGTGCCAGGCATTCCTCAAAAGATTTTAAATGTATTAGCTCATTTACTCCTTACTAAACCCTATGATTTGGATTGTCCCTTCTGAAAGATGAAGAAAATGTTGCATACAAAGCTTAAATAACTTGTCCAAAATCACACAATCAACAAGTTGCAGATCTGGGTTTCAAACCCTAGCACAAAGGCTTTACTCCCTGTACTCTTAACCGTAAGCCATTGCCTCTCCATATTCAACTCCCTAGGCATCACCACATGGATAGGCAGGCTCTTTAAACTCAATATTACCAAAGCAGAACTCCAATCTTTCTCCCCATCTGGCTGCTCTTCCTACATTTCTTATCCTGATGAATGACACTATAATCTGTCCAGTAAAGGAAGTATTAAATGTCAGACACTCCTCTAAGGATTTTAAATGTATTGACTTAGTTAGTCATTTACTAAACCCTGTGAGTTGGATTACCCCTTTTTAAAGATGAAGAAAATGAGGTAGAGAGAACCTGAATAACTTGTCCAAAATCACATATTCAATAAGTTGCAGACTTTCTAGGCTTAGGCCTCTTTTCCACTCCCCAAGTTCCGATTTCTGAGTATACCTAAATACAAATAGAGGGCTCCATGATCAGGTCTAAGTCTGTTTCTCCAGGCTTATCCGCTCAACTGGTCCCCTTACCAGAACTGTATGACCTGGACAATTATACTGTTGACACTTCTTGGAGCATGCCAAGCTGTGCTACTTTCTCCACCTTTATTTTAGCTGTTCATGCTATATAAACAAACATGCATGAACAAAATATTCTTCCCCTCCACTTTCTGCCTGGAAAATACACATCTGTCAAGACTAAGTTCAAAGATTATTTCAACTCTGAAGCCTTTCCTGTCTTTCTTCTCTCTGTTCTCCAGGTTATATTTGCTAATTTTTTCATCATACATCACTCTGTCTTATTACACAGTGCTTTCATTATGATACTATAATATTTTATTTATGTGTTCATAAACCTTTATTTCTCTTTACTTTCTATTAGCTCTTCATAGTCATATCATGTCATATTTTTCTTTATGTTTTCAGCATCTAGGGATAGTGCCAAGCATTATAATACATAACTATTGAATGAATGAAGATGAATGAATGAATTTGCCTAAGGCCCATAACATTTCTCAGGTTTGACAGAGTAACCTGGTTCACCTTTCTCTTAGTTAGAGTCTGTCTTAGTCTGCTAGGGCTGCCATAACAAAATACCACAGACTGGGTGGCTTAAACAACAGAAATTTATTTTCTCACAGCTTTGGAGGCTGAAAGTCCACGATCAAGGTGTTGCCAGGTTTGGTTTCTCCTGAGGCCCTTTTCCTTGGCTTAAAGGTGGCTGCCTTTTAACTGTGTCCTCACATGGAGTTTGTTCTCTGTGTGCACATCCTTGGTGTCTCTTCATCTTCTTATAAGGACACTACTCACATTGGGTTAGGGCCTACCCATATGATCTCATTTAAATTTCATTATCTCTTCCAGGCTCTATTTCCAAATATAGTCACTTTCTAAGGTACTGGGGGTTAGAACTTCAACATATGAATTTGGGGGGTGTGGGAGGGGACACAGTTTAGTCCATAACAGAGTCCTAGAAAAGCTAAGATTAGTGAAGCTTAAGTATAAGTTCAGCAAATCATGGCATAGTCTGGTTTAGATGCCTCTCTAGGAGTCTAAACCAGAGTTCGGGAGAATTGTGTTACAGCCAATAGAAATCTTAGTAATATTAGCCCAACATAAATATTATTGAATGAAATAATAAAATTCTATGCAATAAGTGGAGTTCTATCTTTTTTCCATTTGTATATATCTATTTTGAAAACATCTAATTATCATTAATGATCTGATTGATATGGTTTTAGTCATTTAAAAGTATCTCATTCTATTACCTTTCTTTTTACCTCTTAGGGCTCAAGAAACATATAAAAGACACCGTGAAGAAAAATTTGTTATGGATATGATTGCCTTTCAAAAAGCTTGTGAAAGATTCCAAGATGCTAAAACACAAGTTGCAATTGTGAAAACGAATTTAGTCTTTAAAGTTCCGAAAGGAATGACAAGATGAACCAATGTCAGATCACATCCTGTGGTCATTTCGAATTATGACCACTATTTTTAGTTAAAAGACTTTGAAATAATACTATGAAAGAGGAAATACTCCATGTCACAAGATGGATTTGTATATAAATCTTATAAAAAGTGTAAAGAATAATTAAATGTTTCTCTTGTTGATCATAATTTAACTGAAATCAAATTGACTTGGCACCCCCAAAAGGTTCCTTATATATCCAGATGTCCAAGGAACAATTAAAACTGATTTTATTTATTGCAGGTAGGAAATATTGCAAAGGCATTGCTTATCCTGAGTATAGCAATTCATAACATATTTTCAGTTTTTCTGGCAACCTTAGCTTAGTAATTTCTGCCCCAGCTGCTGACTTTATTATTAAGACACTGTATACTTTGATTAGTTTCATTACCTGCTTTCAGATATTTAATTATATTTCCTGTTTATTTGTTAAAACAATTTCTCAATTTATTTTTTCAAAATAAGTGTTTCACTGTTATATCAGGGATTCATGCTCTTATAAAAATTCAGAAAGTATAAAATATAAAAGGAAAACTAAACCTTCCTATTAACTTCTTTGGAGATTGTAATATTTTTGTATATTGACATTCCATGTGTTTGCTGTTTGTATATATGTGGGGGCAGAGAGGAGAGAGAGAGAAGGTACATGTAATTATATAATTATGACCATAAAGTCATAACATAAGGTACACAGAAAGGGTATATGCTAATTTTAAGTCTATTTAATACAGATTCGTGGTGTAAAATTTATTAAAGAACAATGTAAAAAAAGATATAAAAATGTTTTGAAAATTTAAGTCAATTTTCAATAGTGTTTTCATATATCTAGAAAGATAAATGTCTCACTATGATTACGACATTGCTCACAATACAATGTAGCTAATGCAGTTCAAAATTTCTCTTTAATACTTACCAGTTATAAGTGCAAGTTTTTAAAAGTGTTTCTTTTTAAAATTCTCTAATTTTATCAGTCTATGGTAAATTTCCAAAAATGAAGTATTTTACAACAGCAGTTATTCAGTTGTGCTTCTATGATGGACCACTAGAAAATGCTGGTAGTATTTTCCTAATTTCCTGTTTAAATCCTTGGCACCAGGTCTTACTTTCCTGTTAATACACATACAACTAATGAGCAAATCATTAGTTTTGGTATTGGTATGTGGTATTTCTAATTATTCTTCAAAAAGAATAAAAGGAGATACTGTGTGGTGGTGAAAAGCATGACAGATGTAGGTTCTCATAACAAGTTAGATAATTTCTCTATTACCCTAGTTTTCAGTTCTGTATTTGGAAATAATACATACCTTTTTTGGAATTTAATGAAAATAATAATCCATGTCATATAGTTTTGTTATGAGACTTAAATGATAAAAACACATAAAGCAACACAATGCATTCTGCAGAGTAAGCAGTTAATAAGGGTAAGTGTGTAGAAGTGGAGGCAGAAGACTTCTCTGTGTAGTTATAGGAGAATTTGCCAACTATCTATGTAAGATTTTAGTGATACTGTCAAGGAACAGCAGAATTTTTTGTGTGATATATTTGAATATAATTAATTTATTTAATCAATACATTTATTGAATGTTTCTTGCCCTTTCTCTTTGCACCTATTCCATACTACAGACTTTTATAGTCTTTATCACATGACAGGTAATCAGTAATTTCTTTTATTATTTTCACCCAACTATAAACTTCTTGAAGGCAAAGACTATTTTACTCATCTCTGTGTTTCTATTACTTTGTACTAAGGCAGATATATTACACACAATACTTTTTCTGTTTATAGCTCTCTTTTCCCATTTATGTGCTGTCTCAGGTCAATCTCATGACCTTTACTGCCACTTACTGTTTATGTTTTGAAGAATTAAAAATATGTATCTCTAGGTCATACATTTAGTCTTAATATGTCTCCTATATTTCCAAATGCATGCTAGACATCTCTACGTAGAAGGCTTAAGGTTTTTTAAAAATCATACATTAAAATGGAATTCATTATTATTTTTTTTACTATTTTCCCCCTCCTCAATCTTGCTTCTCCTTCTGTGTTCCCAAACTCCCATAGATTCATAACCATCTAAATGGTCTCTCATATTAAAAATTTAGAAGACATTCTTGACTCCTTTCTTTTACCCCACCACATCTTATGAAGTATGAAGCCTTGTAAATTCTATCTGCAGAAGGTCTCTGTGACAGAGACTGGCTAGCTTTTCATCAAACCTATCTTTTATTTCTTTAGGACACAATTAGTCTATATTTCCCAGCTTCCCTTGCACAGTTAGTTGAGGCACAGGACTGAATTCTGGCAGATGGAATCTGGCTAAAAGTGATTGGCAGCCCTTCCAGATACATACCATGTCTTTCCTCTTCTTTAGCCACCTTGGAAAACACATGTTAAAAAGGGCTGAGTCACAAGATGAAAAGAGCCCGGGTTCCTGAATCACTGCTTATGGTGTGATCAAGAACACCTATTTTGTTCCTTACACTATCCAAAAAATATTCAATTATATTAAGGGCTTTGTAACTTCATCAATTATATTAGGCCAGCAGCTAATAGTGATTTAACCATTAGAGAACTTGGTACCAAAAGTAAGAGTGCTGACATCACAAAATCTCCACATATGTGCTGATGGCTTTCCTGGGAAGTGAGGAAACTAATATTGAGGACAAAAATATGGAGACTCAGGTCTACCGATGGTGTAGCCCAGGGGTTGGCAAACTTTTCACTAAGCAACAGATAGTAAATATTTTAGGCTTTGTGGGCTATACAGTGTCTATTGCAACTACTCAATTCCATTGCTGTAGCACAAAAACAGCCGTAGATAAGATGTAAACAAATGACTGTGACTGCATTGCAATAAAACTTTATTTACAAAAACAAGAGACTGGCTAGATTTGGCCTATGGGCCATAGTTTTCCAACCCTTGACATAGATATTTAGACTTGTAATTTTTTAGAACTTATACATGCAAGGGTGCTAGGTCCTCTCTTCTAAGCTAATACAAATCTTAAACACAGCAAATTTCTCAAATAAATAACTGCTTATAACCTTATACTAATAAAGACACCCTAAAGTGCTGTTGCAGCCAGCCCTTGTGGTCTAGTAGTTAAGATTCCGTACTTTCACTGCCATCTCCTGGGTTTGTTTCTTGGTCAGGGAACCACACCACCCATCTGTCAGTTGTCATACTGTGGTGGCTACGTATTGCTGTTATGCTGAAAGCTATGCCACCAGTATTTCAAATACCAGCAGGGTCACCCATGGTGGACAGGTTTCAGTGCGGCTTGCAGACTAGACAGATGAGGAAGAAGGACCTGGCCACCCACTTCCAAAACAATTGTCCATGAAAACCCTATGAATAGCAGCAGAGCATTGTCTGCGATAGCACCAGAAGCTGAGATGGCTCATAAAGACTGGGCAGGGTTCTGCTCTGCTGTCCTCAGGGTTCCTAGGAATCAGAATCAACTTGAGGGTACTAACAACAAAAGTGTTGTTGCAGATTAAAATAAATTTGTTTCACATGCTAGTAATACTGAAGTGTTTCAAAATAAATCACCATTAAAAACTATACATAAATGCCAAGACAGAATTTGCTTAAAAAGGGAAGTCCCACACTGAAGCCAAGGTTAACAGGAAAAAACAGCAACAGGTTACACTAAAATATGGGGTGATCGGAAAAGAGGGGATTATAGCCAAGGGAATGACATACTGTGAGCCCTTTCTTTGAATAGTGAGATAGTGATAAAAGAAAAGCTCTCCTTTCACCTCTTCCTAGAGTTTCCTTAGGAGAAGCAGAGGCCGCTACAGGCGCTATTCAGGGATTGCAGCAGCAGCATCTCATCTCAGAAGAAAACTAAAAGAGGTTAACTATTAACTTGTTCTTCTCTTTGTTTCTTTGAACCAAGAGTAAATTTGTATTTTGTATCCAATGATCAATCTCCTAGTTCAAATTGTGTGATAATAGAGTACAATGGTTAAGAGCACAGGCTTTGGAACCAGAAAGACCTAGGTTTAAATTCTTTATCATTTTATTAATTATGTGACCTAGAGAAAGTTATTGAAGCTCAATTAAAATTTCAGTTTCTTCATTTATAAATGAGATAATGTATGTAAAGCATTTGGGACATTTCTATATCATGATAAGTTCATGGTAGTGATTCTTATGTACAAAGGTAGTAGAGATTTCATGAACTCATGAGAAGTGAGTCAATCTCTTGAAATTCACCTGGAGGCTTTCTGATACCTTTGTATTTATTTTGAAGAAAATGTCTCCAATTCCCTGGAATTGCAGAAGCTAACAAGGCCTATCAAAAGTCATTTAATGAAGAGAGATGAGGGGGATGGACAAGACAACAGCAAGAGAAAGGAGGCTGTTATGCAAATATATGTTCATTTACATAATCACACAAAGGCAAGCTTAGAAAGAGACTCTAAAAATGTTCCAAGATAAAAGTTTTCTGCCTACTATTTGACTATTCTACCTGTTATTTTGACTATTTATTATTAACTACAATAATTTGTTATTGGATAGACAGTATAAAAAAGTTGTAAATTATAATGTCAATAACCTAAATTGTGAGTAGAGGGAGAAGTAAAAGTACAGAGTTTCTATTTGCTATTGAAGTTAAGTTGTTATCAGCTTAAAATAGGATGGTATAGGTGTAAGATATTTTATGTAAACCACATGGTAACCACAAAGGAAAAACCTGTAGTAAATACACAAAAGATTAAGATAAATAAATCAAAGCATACCACCACAAGAAGTCATGAAAACAAAAAGGAAGAGAGAAAGAGAGGAAAAAAGGAAGAAAGGAACTGCAAAACAGTCAGCAAAACAATCCACAAGATGGCAATAGTAAGTCCTTATCTATCAATAATTACTTTAAATGTAAATGGATTAAATTCTCCAATCAAGAAATAGAATGACTGAATGGATTGAAAAACAAGATCCAATGATACTGCTACCTGCCAAGAGACTGACTCTCGCTGTAAGAAAACACATAGACTCAAAGTGAAGGGATGGGAAAAGATATTTCAAGTAAATGGTAACCATAAGAGAGCAAG